GTATGTGTTGCAAGAACCAAAAAATCTATCAATAAAATTTGTTTTGTTTTAATTAAGAATAAATTAATAATGTTATAAAGCAGGTTTTTAATGAATGAAAACGAATAATAAATTTACGTTTTAAAAGAAAGTAACAAATTCAGTTTTAAACCATTGAGTTTGTTTCAACAATGGGAGGGGTGGAAAATCCCCTTGGGGACACATATAACACTATAAATACAATAAAATCACCTTACAATGAATTAAGGCAAAATAAATGTTTTCTAAGGAAAGTCCAGTGGATTTGCTTTCTAATACATACAATCAACAGAACATTTCTAATATAAATTTTCGAAAAGACACCACAGAGCAAATTTAAAAAAATCAATCAGACGGTAAACACCGGCAAGCTTTGTCAATTTCACCAACTTGTTTATTTCAAGAAGTTACAACTTCTTGTTTATTTCAAACAGCGTTGCGCGCAAAGGTTTGTGGGTAATATGAGGGTCCAACTTGCCCCGAGTCAAGGGGGCCAACTAGCCCCGGGTGCACATTATTTATTTTAAGGGATGGCAGCCATTTATGGTGCTAGAATGAGCAACGATGATACATCTCTGTGAAACTTGAAACAATGAGCTTCAGTTTGATGCCCTATACATATCTTATATTCGATCAAAAGCCTATGAAAATAGATTTTTAAATCTCTTAAACAAAATTACTTTTAGGTGCAAAAATAGTTTATTTGGACTCACCGCTTAATTAAAACGGCCGACACTTCCTTAGCATTGTAGGCTACGGTCACTTTACAAGTGTATGTGGCCAATTTCTTTACCTAGTAGTTACTTATTCATAAAATAACGGGAGGGGGGGGGCAACTTACCCCGGGGTCCAACTAGCCCCTGTCTCCCCTAAGTCTGAACAGTAAATACGGTGACCTCCTTTAGGTAAGATTTTTTATACATGTCTGGATAAATAAATGGCGAGGCTTTGTTATTCGCTGAATTTATTTGATGAAATTGCGTTAATTAAAGATCGACCAGGAATACAACATGCATGTGCGTGCGCGTTTGATTGGGCGCATGAATTTGTTTCTATGAAGTGTGAATAAGTTTCACTGAACGTATGCGTGCGTAAGTGCGTGACTGTCTAAAGACTCAAATACGTCTGTTTTTCCTAAAGACACAATCAACAACTTTTTGTAGTAAGAGTGACAAGACGTTTAATACTTCAAAACTCAAGATATTATCTTTACTAAAGATAATATCTTGAGTTTTACTGCGTAAAAAGGGAAGGGAAATGTGAAAAGGGTTTTGGAAAGTGAGATCATGAAGAAAATGCACTTGTAAGTTTCTTTTTTCAAAATTGAGTAGATTGTCAAGCTAACGGTTCAGGGATGTTCTTCTCTATCGGCCAAGGATCGGAAGATGCACGTTTTATAATGTAACGCACTGCAGTGAGGCCAGTCTTGTTTCGATGTAAACCTGTAAAGTCTATTGATTCTGCCCTGAAAAAGGAGAGCGCTCAAATATCAATCCCCATGGTTGCATGGATGACGAAGCAGAAAAAAGGCCTTTATTTATTCTATCAACCCAACATCGCTTTTTCGTGGAATAGGAGCATGCGCACAGGATTGTTTTTTCAACAAAAGCTGTTGCTATGTTTGCATAAACAACATAACTGGGTTAAAATGATCGGTAGCGGTCGATTCAGTGGAAGACTTAACTCCACACAGTATCCTACCTGTGCGGACCACCTATACAGATATAAGCTTCGGCACGAAAGTACATTTCGTTTTCGTTCTCGAGGACACATAACGGTAAGTCTGGGAGTGGTCGGTCCATGCTTTAGTTAAAATACGTTTTATCAAAATAATCCGTTTCAAAGTTAGGCGGCCGCGTGCTTTGCAATATATTTTACCTTGCAGTGTTGAACAAAGAAGGGTGCTCAGGTTTCTTCCCTAAGTCTTGTTGTGTCACACGCATACAGTTGTTTTTACTGCATTTTCCTTCAGTCGATTGCTTACATTTATATGATGGTTTTCAAACGGTACGCATTTTTTTGTGCGTGTCACTCCAAAACGAAATACAGTGCCTACAAATAAATTTGATATTAATATGAAATAATCGAGTTGAGGTTAAAATGCACATTAATTAGATTCCCTCTTATTAAATGGAGTACCCCCCCCCCCAACCACCACCAAGGACATTAGAAAAGTACATAATTGTATATAAAAATCCCAATATAAAGCCTTGAAAATGTCAAAAATAATGATAGAATAATGTAGAAACGGAGAAACACATACAAGTCATTCGTTTTTTCCTAATTGTATGTTACAATAATGCATTTTTCTTTCAAAATGGATATTCGCACCATTGGTTTGTAAACAGTAACTAAAGAATGATTAAAAGAAAAGAGAGTTCTAACAATTGAATGAAACATCGCGTTTTCTAGTAAATGTGTTTTGTTTTCGAAATTAAATCTAAAATAAAGTGGTTGTGAACTTATGCAGCACTGTCGTGATGTGTCAGATGTGGAAAACTCAGGTAAAAACAGCCAGTTTAGGAAAATGCTCAAATTTTTTTTTATCTTAATACCAACACAGGATGAAAGAAATAGAAAGTACAGACATAGACTCTAACACAAAAAATGTAAAGGTTCTAAAATAAAGTCAAGTTAAGATATATCACGAGTAAAAAATGAAAAACATGAATAAGATTACTGATAAGTTAGCCATATTAAGATCATAAGCATTTTTCTAAACTGCAATACGCGAGCTATTTTTCAAGGGCGCGTGCCCATAACCCTATTGTACTAGCAGGATCGATTTAACTCCTCTGGGATTCTCGCTCAGTTGCATTCAGTCTAAGCGGCCTCAAGATCTCGTCACTTTAAGTACTTGGGTAAAGTCTGGAAAACTCTGTGGTTCATGGTGTTGTTCATGTTGCTTTGCGAAGGGGCGTGCCAAATAATTATGCTGATTACATTGTCTGCGCTTTCCCCGTTAAATAGACCGATCCTGCTAGCACGATAACGTTATGGGAACGCAGTCTAAGAAGCATATAATTTCAAACCTTTTTGGTGATAATATGACACATCTACATTGTGTACCAAGCTTTTGTCCTCCGTCACCAGTTCCTTATATCAGGCAAACTTATGACTGGGGCTTAGAATGAAAAAATGGAAATGAACTGAAATGTTTGTCAAAATACATACTGGACTGGCAAGGACCTCTATGTGAGCCAAATAATGAAAATAAATAATAATAATAATAATAATAATAATAATAAATGTTTTGTAATCCCCTATATGCATGATAGTTAATAAATATGTTCTTAAACAAAGAATGAATAACTAAAATTTCTTATTTTAAGGAATGTAATTAATGTATTTATAATTAATAGTGCCTGTGACTTGAGATTTCAATCTTGCCTACGCAGATTTTAAACCCTACGAGGCAAGATTAAAATTCAGTCATGCTTGGGCGGATTTTAAATAAGCCTGGACATATATATCGGGTGGATAAATACAGTAACTTAAAATTTGAATACATCAAAGATTTTCTTTTAATTTCATTCATTTATATCTTGGAATTAAACCAAAGTACTCAAAAGCTTGTAATTGTGGTGGCCAGTTCAAAATTGTCACAATGTCAAAACCTTTATACGCCAGAGGCAAAATCGCGTAGTGATATTATTTTGTGGGTAATAACGCAGAATGTTTTAGAAATTTAAAGTGGAGGTTCGGTGCATTTTTATCAATCCATTACATACCTAGCACTATTTTTTTTAATCAACATCACACAAAAACGAATTTCATTCATTGTTTCAGGAGTCTGGTTATTATACCATTAAGTGAGCATAAGATTCAAGTTCAACCAGCCAACTCAGACGGAGCAGCAGTATCAAATCGAATGTTGAATGAAGAATGGAGGAGCGCCATCCCTTTTCACCAGACCAAGAGCCTAAGGACCAGGCACCAAAAAACCAACACCATAAGCAGCAGCGGTCACACCTTAGCCAAGGTTCTCATGGTCAGGCACACTTACAACCGACCCATAATCTCGACCACCGTTACCCGCAGCATCCGAAAAACCCAGCTCAAGGCCCACCGCACCCAAACGCACCATATAATGTCGGGCATAATCAGGTCCACGTAGATCCTTCATATCCTCCCGCCGGCCAGCAGCATTATCCAAATACATATGGATACAATGGAACACAGCCCGGAACGGTGCAGTATAGTATGCCGTATCAACACGTTATCCCTCCACCCGGAAACCAAACTATGGATCGTGGGGAGATTCCAGTCAATCCCCATCAGCAACAAGGCCAAAACCACAACTGGTACAGACACAGGGTAAACCAGGTGTTCATCGTTAGCTCAGAGTTGCGCATTCAGGATGTGGAGAACAAAGCGGCTGTTCGGACGGGATTGGAGTACATCTGGGGTATGCTGAAGGAGAACGGGGCAGCACAACCTTTGGGTCCAAAGGTGGACTTCTTTGTATCAGTCTACAAACAGATTCTGTTGACTTTGACCTTCATATTCACCATAGTTTTCGCGATATTGGATGGCGATAAAAACATCGTGTTCACCGTGATTTGTACAATCCTTACAGCCGCTGAGTTCTTCATCTGGCTTTTTGCAGGCTTCAAGTTCTTTCGGCGAATGCTTTGCGTAAAATGTGTCCAAAAGAAAGTTGGTCCTGCCGCTGACGTCGAGGAGAAGGTAATATCCGAAACGGAAGGTGCTTCGGAGCAACAAGAAGCCACCAAGCGGGTTCCAGTTGTGGAAGGCGCTGGCGCCAGAGCTGCACAGTTTGCCAAAAATATTGCGCAAGAAATCCTGCTGTACCCAATCATCGTATGTGACCTGTATGGGTTGGTGTCGGAGCAATCATACTCGTTCGGCAGTTGGGAGTCGGTTATCAGCATGTTGCTTCTCATTTTTGCGATGATAGAACTTATATTTACGTACTCTGTGCGCATGTACATGCTAATCGTCGTTTTCAAGATAATGGAAGATAAGGTAGATGGGATTCGGCAGTGCGGGGCGTTGTGTTTTGGCGGAATTCAGTGGCGATACGTGTCGAATATTATTGGCAACGTGGTGGTGTTCGTCTTAATGATAGCAATTCTCGGAATTCAGATTCAAGTTGATAACACTGTTCTCGGAGAACTTCATGTTTCTGGGGCGGCCGGTTTCATGATAGCGTGCACCATTCTTCTCCCCATCTGTAACGTGGCCATCTTTTTGGCGATAAACATGCACGCCGTGATGGAGCTGCTGTATAAAGTTGACATTCACTTCGCTGAGATGCATCCGGGGACGAGAGAAGAATTCCGTGTGAAACACAATTTATTTGTCCAGAAAAACCCCGACGGTTCCCACTCCTTCAAAGATGACGACTCGGCACAAAAATTACCAATATATAAGGAACGCCTTAAGGGTTACCAAGCGGTCTCTACCTGGAAGCGCTTTTCCTTTGGGTTAAGCAACAAGTTCTTGGCGGTCGCTCTTTATATTTGGACAGTATTCTTTTCTGCCTATCTCTTAGTCTCCCCGGGACTGTATAATTACTCCGCATCAAGTGGAGGACTGAATGAGGGCTCAGTTGGAACGCTGAAAATTTTTCTCTGGATCTTCTTTACTCTAGCAAATGCGCATGCGTACATACTAGGCATAATTATCACGGCCTACGTTACGTTACTTATCACGGCGTTTTTTATGTCCTGTGTTTGCGGGGAGAAGAAGATTGCCTGCCTTACATGCACTTCCTGTTGTAATAATGACGATGACTAAACTGTATTTGCTGTCAAACTGTTGTTGTATGGATAGGAGCAGTTTTATTCTTTTAAGGTTGTGTCCACGATGAGACTATTGTACTAGGAAGTTTGAACTAACTCCCAGGGGAGTGTATACAACCAGGTTAAAGAAATAACATGTCTCGTCCTGGAGGTTAGTAAATTCTCGGACCCAATATACTGGGTCCTAGGTAAAATACAGAAAGCAGGTGATTATACGGTTACATTGGAAACAAGAGAAGGCGTGATAATAATCTAATTGCTATCATCAACAGTCCCCTTTGAGTTAGTTCGAACTACCTAGTGCGATAGTTTCGTTGTGTACGCATCCTAAGAGACAATCAGTAACACGACTTTAAACTAGACGTTTTTTATATGTAACATTGTGAGCTAAGGCTTTTTTTACTTAAGTTACTATTATAGGCCGCATTCAGAACAGCGGACTAACTAGTCCACGGATCAAATATGGCCAACCCACTTGAATACTTCCCCACGGGGAATCTATTCAGTGTCTATTAGCGGATTAGGGGGCATTTTTTTAGTTGGCCGCCATATATAGACTAGTAAGTCCCGCTGTTCTAAATGCAGCTACACATTCATACCCCAGAAGGTAATAATATATCATGCTGTCACTTGTGTTTTACACTATTACTGTGACAAATGCGTGTACTGTATGGTCCAGTACAAAATGTGCCAGAGGTTAGTTTTACAAGTATTTACTCTATTTATAGGTACATGTAAATATGTAAAAATAAATCCCACGCTGTCTTAAACATATCGTTATTGTTAATAACCTCGAATAGACTACCTATTTCGGAGACTGATATAAAACAGACATACATGTACTGTTATATCAATAAAAATTTTATATCAGTGTGATCCACATTATAAAATCAAGAAAAACGCTTTGTTGACTTATTTTGAAAAACCAAACATTATTTCCAAGAATTAATCACGAGAACACAACATTTCCAAATATTAAACAGAAAATAATAAATAAATAAATAAATAAATAAATAAATAAATAAAGTGAAACTAGAATAATGCAATAATGCCGAATTAAACTTCAATCCTCCGTATTGGTATGTCGCTAAATCAGACAAGCGGTCAAGAAATTGAACTGTTTACGTTATAGACAATCAAATAGTATCAGATTGTACACATTTATTAATTCTAGCATTTTTACATTACATCTATGTAGGAAAATAAGATTTTTTCGTTCTGTTGCAATTTGAATCGTATGCTTTAAAGAGGCTTGTAGGCAAATTATGCACCACATGTGTATCTATACATTATTTGGCATTACTCTGAACTCTGTTAGATTGGCTGTCCTTTCTCAGTCTTTCTTGACTTCTTTAGACTGTATATTAGCGAATGATTCATAGCCCAACTTTTGTATGACCTCACCACAATAGCTGTCTACCTCAACGCCTAGGGATGGCTGTATCGTCCTCTCCCATTGGTGAGCGGTTTGCGATGAGTTTACTCTACTTGTGCCGTACGGATCGGACATAACATCCCCTTCTATTTTACCAGATGTAGTATTAACGAGCCACTCTCTAACATTGGCTGGCATTTTCCGCCCAATAAACTCGTATATCTTGTCAGCATAGGCGATGGGATTGTCCGCTAAGTCTTCGTACCGGAGGGTCATAATGCGACCAGGGAACCGACTTTGTAGCCTGTCACGTGCGACGAGATCGGGGATCATGTGTTCCTTGCAACGTTTGACTGTCTCACACGTCATGTTGCACTTCTGAAGCGTCACAGGCCGGATCAGCTTGTATTTTCGCATCGATAAAATCGAAGCCCGTGGATCGCGCACGAGATAAAGAATCTTTACTGGTTCGAACTGCCTCAAAATCGGCTCGAGGTCTGTCATACGGAGCACGACAATTTTGAATGCTTTAAACGATTTGTCGCATGCCCGTTTTATCAGTGGGATACATTGGATGTCTTCTGCCGTTGTGTTGTACTTTAAAATGCATGAGGCATAAGTTCTTAAATGTATGTGTCTGCCAAGAGCAATGAAAAACCAGTGAGAAGGTGACTCCGGCGCTAAGACATTGACAGGAACCTTGGTAAAATCACATGATATCAAGTTTTTGACCACGTCCGTCATGAATTCTTTTTTGGGTAGTCCTGTACTTTCCATCGTCCTGTAATGATACATTTACAACGAATTACGCTTAAACACAAGTTGTTTGTGCTGGCATAACTCTATAGTCTTTCATACTCTATAGTCTTTCATTTAACAATACAAAACAAAAGGTATCTTGTGCGAGATTTTTGCATCAAATGTAATTTACACTTGTGAGAAAAAAAAACATAAGAAAATTTCTTCTAATCGCGAATTACTGGACCCAACCCTTTACCCAGCAAACACAAAACGTTTTATAAACGTTATGTTAACGTTATTATAACGTTCTTCTTGTTTGCTGTGTACTTGGATTCCATGTTACTCATTACGAAACTTAGTTCTGAACAATTCACTATTCTTATAGACTGCTGTAGTCTTCCTGACGTTTCATATGAAAAATTTGACATCAGCTTCTTCTATTAGATGAGGTGTCGTTTTACTGTCCGAATTGGAAAAGACCAACAGCTTTTCAGAATATTTAGGCTAATAAACCTAACTTTGGGATATTTTGAAAAGCGTATGGTATATTTTAATGCGGCTAAAACTTAATACCGTAACCTTTGCGAGTTATCGGTGTAAGTTAAATGTCGCTTCATGGATGCCCTGTCAAGTTCATGCGTGGGCTCAAACATGTAAAAAGCGTCCGGGTTTTGGTTAAAAAGTTCCCCAACCAAGCTAGAGCCACTCCGAACATAGGTCACGATAAGAACGATGTTTACTTTAACTATTCCATATTAACATACTGGTAGTGCATTTTCCCGTGCGGTTCATATGTTCTACTTGTATTTCCACACAGCAGTGAGGCAGCCATATGAAAGCATCAAATATTGATAATGCAACATAGCGCGGTAAATTTATTATGAGTTTCATGCAATGGAGAAGTATAAAAACTACAACAACCTGCTGCTCAAACGAAGTGAAGGGGGTCGCGATAATATTGTGGTCAACTATTAACTAGGTTAGAATGTATTCAATACTTACTTTAAAATGAATGGACTAGAATAGCGTTCATCTCCTGTCGCTGTGAATGCAGTATTTAGATGACATTATTTTTTAACATAACTTAAGTTGGCCCTAAGACAAGAGAATACACTTGAGTTCGCGTAGTCTATAGAACCTGAGTTTGTTTAATTTATATCTAGGAGTCAAAAATGAATCAAGCCCGTAAAGTAGCAGGATTCCTGGAAACATTTATTTAACGAAGTAGAAAATTGTAATAAGAAAAAAGCCCTAACATTTTGTTTCCACTCAATCTGATTTACAACGAAAGAGTTGAGGTTGTATAAGTGGGTGTCTATATCTATATTAAAGAATGTACTTGTCCCCTCCGACATATACGCGTATAACACCACGGTGCTTTTCATCTGCCAATATGATACTGTGCTACTAGTGTCACATAAAATGGGCCAACGGGTTTGTCATACTAAATATATTAGGTTACTGTTTTACGTCGCTTAAAATTATAAATAGAAAAGTTGACAAAAAGAACTCGCAATACGAAGAATATAAGCACGGACATTCTTTGAGAAGAGGGTTAGTTTTAATTGCAGATATACAATATTATAATGGGTTGAAAATGTGAAATATTCCTCTTCTTAATCTAACGTTAACGAATAGTTGGCCCCAAAACTCCTTTGACTAACAATAATTACTGGTGGGTCTGATCAAATTCATTAATTACAAAGCTAAATATTTGCATTCTTAGCCCTATCACCAAACTATCGCATAATAATTAACATTGAAAACAAGACACTTCTTACTCAATACAAAAAACAGTTTCATGAAAATTATTATCGAAACAGCAGCAACTGCCACTTACGTGGTTAATCTTTAATATGGAATGTTTGGGTGTATTGGTACCAGCGTAACAATACCAAATCAGTTAAGCATCCAGTGCTAGGACATATGTATATAAAGCTTCCGAAAATAATATTCGCCGATAATTGAAAAGAGGGTAATCATAATTTGTCAATGGCAAACGTCAAACGCCTTGAGCACAATAAGCAATACTTACTTGCCACGGTGAAACCATCAGTTGATGCCTGGTTGGCAACTGGCTCCATCTCTGTGATGGAAGTGGTTGATGGTATAGATTCAACATATCTTATCTGTTGGTGCCTTTTGTTCTCAAACACCCTTGACTGGATCTTGTATGTCCACAACAGCGAGGCACAGAAAACTACGCTACAGAAGGCAGTGAAACATACCCATAACTTCATCAACGCCATGACCTATTTTTGCATGTCATGAAGCAAAATGGTTGCCCTGGCTGCCACTTTCAAAGGACACGCGACCAGATGAAGGTAGCAGTGATAAAAGCTGACAGAGAAATGAGTCAGTGTGCGAGCTGAGAATTGTTACAAGAAAGGCTGTGTACAAGTAACATTAAACAAGTACCATTATAACACGATATAAGCAGTGAGTTCTGAAGAGTTAAATTCGAAAAAAAAACTTTTTCCACTTATCAGGTTATTTCATACCGAGCCATTCTAGTGACCGTGCGGGGTCATTTACGGCCCCAGCCTTATGATTTAATGTGCCATCTCTTTATTTCTTATCCGAATTTTCTTTCCTTGCATGAGTTTGTCAGTCTACTAATCCTACACACTTCCACAGTTTTTTTTTTTTTTTTTTTTTTTTTTTTTTTTTTTTTTTTTCAGGGATCAACTAATTAGTGTGGCGTATACATCACAAACTCTTGTAGGTTCGTTTATGACCCCGAAGAGAAGCGTTGGTTTTTAAACATTGGTTTTTTAAATTTCGTTCAAATGATCCACTTCTTACCATTAAATTAAATTGTATTGCAGTGAACATGTGTTTTATGCAACCACCCAGTGTACCTAGAACATGGCCACAAACAAGTGGTTTGTGAAGATTGTGCCTGAAGTGTTACTAATAGTGCATTACTGAATCTAATTTCAGTAGCTTTGTTGGAATTAGTTTTCATAACTAGGTGTCTCATTTTGACTGTTACAATTTTCAGGTGTTTCAGTAATTTAAAGAATTTAAGCATATAACACATATAATAATAAATTTGATAATAATAAATTTATTTTAAGTCTAAAATCCATTTAAAACGTTCAGTAGACTTTACATAAATTATCATAAATAATACTGCATAAAATATCGTAAAAAAAATCTAGGTAAAACAGCCATTATTCCATACAATTAAATGCAATTAATACAAGATTTATAAAACCAATTAAGAGTTAATCAAAATAGTTCCTAAAAAGGTATGTTTTGTGTTCTTTTTTAAAATGTTTGGTAAACTGAATTGCTCGGATTTCCAGCGGTTATAGATTCCATTCCTTTGGACCTGCAGCTTTAAAAGATATATCACCATAGGTTTTTAATCGCATTTTTACTGGGTTGAGTAGCAATTGGTCTACAGACCGCAGATTTCGCATTGGAACATACTGACTAACTAATTCATCGATGTAGATTGGTGCCAATCCATAAAAAGCATCGTGAGTAAAAACTAAAAATTTGAATAAAATTCTGGCTTGTAGAGGTAGCCAGTGTAAACTTTTTTAAACTGGGGAGATGTGTATACTTGTGGATGTCCGGGTTGATAATCTGGCCGAGATATTTTGAATGCGCTGCAGTCTAGCAATTTGTTTCTTTGGACAACCGTATAAAATGGAGTTGCAGTAATCTAATCGAGATGTAACTAAACAATTTATGACTGTGGCTGCAGCAGAGTCAGACAACTGATTGCGCATTGCACTTATGTTCCTAATGTTAAAAACCGCTGACCTGCATACATTGACAATATGTTTGTTCATACAAAGTGATCCATCTAAAAATACACTAAGATTTTTTGCATGAGGTGTTGGCTTAATAATGCTTGATCCAATTTTGAGCTGAATTTGTTGTGCTATCATACGATTATGTGGCTGACTTATTACCAAATGTTCAGACTTTCCATCGTTAATTTTCAACTTAATACTAATCAGCCACCTGCGAAGATCGTCAATACATTCAGACAATATATCAATAGATTCATTTGGATTTTCTAGATTGCAACAAGTAAAAATCTGTGTGTCATCAGCATAAATATGATAGCCAATATTATGATGTCTTAGTATGGCCACAATTGGTAAGGTATACATGCAAAAAACAAGAGGTCCTAGAACACTGCCTTGTGGCACACCAAAAGCTATTTCTGAAACATTTGATAATATGTCTTTTATCATAACCTGCTGTGGCCGGCCTGTAAAATAAGAACGTAAAAGACTAAGAGCAGAGTCCTTAATACCAATAAAATCTTCAAGAAAAGATAAAAGTAGTCCATGATTAACGGTGTCAAAAGCTACCGGTAGGTCCAACAGGACTAAAAGAACCATTGAATGTTTATCCACTCCACATAAAAGATCACTTTTAATCCTAAGTAGAGCTGACTCAGTACTGTGTCCGGCCTTGTATGCAGATTACATTGGCTCTATAAGATTGTTTTTCTCTAAGTGTGCAACCAGTCTGGCGACAATGACCCTTTTAACCGTTTTTGATAGAAACGAGAGGTTAGACACAGGTCTGTAATCCCCAATGTATCAGGGTCAAGAGATGGTTTTTTTAATAAAGGTTGAACCACAGCTTTTGTGAGTTGGTCAGGGAAAGAACCAGAAGTGAAACTAGCGTTGATGATGTGAGTTATCAGGTTGATGACAGCTGGGGGTATCTGGGTCATAAGCACTGTCGAAATCGGATCAAGCATGCATGACGTCTTCTTGGACTTTGTAATTATTTTAGTGACTTCATCTGTAGATGCTTCTTGGAAAGTTGAAAGTGTTGAAATGGCCGGGCTTCGGCAACAGATCAGATAGTTGAAAACAAGGTGGGGTGGAGATTGTGTGTTCCAGTTCCGAGAGTTCAACATATATATTCTCATTTTTGGATATGTAAAATTCACTCATCTTGTCCGCAAGAGTTTTTAATGAGACTGTCCCAGGGTGGGTGGTATTATTTGACTTCCCTAATAAGCTGTTCACTGTGTTGAACAAAGCTTTGTTGTCACCACTGCAACCATTGATTAAATCTGAAAAGTAAGACTCCTTTGTTTTCCTGATTAAAGAGTTGACATGAGCGCACTGAGTTGTTTGTGTGGTTTTTGTTTTATACATAGGTGTGGTAGTACTAGTAACATAGGTTGATTGAATGTGTTCTAAGTAGGATGACTTCTTTACCAGTATTAGCGTATTCCCTTGTCAGCAAGTCAGCTTATTATTTTTATTGATGTGAGCAGAATGCTAGCTCAACATAAGTCAATTTTTGTCACTCATATTTATTTTCTATGATGTACCGGTACATTTTCATTTAGTGTGTCAAAAAAGAGAAATATTTTTGAAAGTGGGAACTGACAAGGACTGTCTAAATCATGATGTAATGTTGTTCTTAAAATCTGTGTTTGGCTATTTCTTGCAATAAAAGCATCATTAATAAATACTTATTATATTAGATCCTTATAAATTACCTGTCTTAAATGCTGGGAGTAGTATAGGTGTAATAGGACCCAACCAACCTTTTATAATAAGGATCCCTGAACAGAGCACAATGGGGTCATAGATGACCCCACTTGGTCATTTCAGTCAGTAAAATAGCTGAGGGTAATATATTAGTAGATTTAGGTAGATTTTAGATCCATCGACAGACCTTTCAACATGATAAAAATAATATCGAAGAATCCTGTGATTTCTGGCCAATCAAAAATTCCATTTCCATCGCCGTCATCTTTAAACCATAGGCCCTCTGGACAAGTCATCGAAGTGGGAAGCTGGAATCCAGAGCCGCATTCATAAAACTTGCTGCAGTCATCTGGGTGGTGGACCAGGTCTCCTTTTCTTAATTCAGAGCATCTGTTTTCTTTGGAAAAACATTACAGATATGAGAACAGTAATCATGAAACAAAAAATAATAGGCTACATGTGTATGTACAATAGGCTATATGCATGGTAAATCATGGGTATATTAGATGATGGATGATGGCAGCCTTTTCTCCATGTTGTCATCATTAGAATGGCAGCTCTGTGTCTTTTTTCACCACACATTTCAGACCAAAGACGCTGCTACGCATGCGTGATAACGTGTCATTTGCGCTACAAAAACTTTGTCAATTAAATGCCTTAGCCTTAGGAGCGAAAAAAGGGGGTGCGAAATAAAAATACGGCACATATGTTTTATCTCATACACAAAATATGATACATCCAAAATTAAAATCAAAGTTGTGAATGGTAAAGGCTGAACTTTGGAGAAAACACAGTATGTAGTGCGACCAAATTTTAATTTAGTTTACGAGTATGCATTGTCAGAGTTCAATTTTCTGGACGGGTTTTGAATTGCATCTTCCCTCGTCAGCTATACAGGAACATACGTGGTGATGTGACCCTCCATTCTGCTCGGATGCGTTACACAGGATAGACAGCTGTACATCATGCTTTCTTTCAAGGAATTTGTTCCACTCCCGTAACTTTAAAGTTGTTTCAAATCAAAAATTCAATAATACTGACGGCTTAGGCTAGGGGTATTAATGGATTTGTGAGTGTATATATATTTTTTAAAACAGGTCATACATGTACTTTTAAACAAAAGTGTTGGTATCCATCTAGACAAAAATTGTTTCAAATTAAATTGTTTTTAATACTGACGGCTTAGGCTAGGGGTATCAATGGATTTGTAAGTGCATTTTTTTAAACAGGCCATACTTTTAAAAGTGTTAGTACCCCCCCCCCCCCCCGTGAAGTTTGGGGCGTTTTTATACAGTCGGTGCTGTCCAAGCGTGTGTTGTCGACACATTCGACCTACCCGCGTAGCAACCAATAATAATTCACCACTAAAAGAGCGCATATGCGTTTATTGTTCTTCTAAAGAAATAGAGAATGAGAAACATTTTTTAATTAACTGCGAGCTCTATAAAGACATCAGAGAAGAGCTTTTTAGCCTTGCAAATCAAATAGACGAATATTTTAATGTTTTTAATGACTATGAAAAGTTTATATTTCTTATGCGAAACGACCAAATACAATTTTATACAGCGAAAAAAGTACACGCAATGATGTGGAAAAGAAGCAAAGCTTACAACAAAGAGAATGTTTGAAAAGTTTTATTTATAATATCCTTTTTTATGTATTTTATTGATAAGTAACAATTTTAATGAACTTTTATGAATGTTTAATGCAGTAGCAAAACCATTAGTCTCTGATAACTCTTAGTAGGGTGGGTTTTATTTATTTAA